AAATGAAATTCGAACTTTGTTTATTACATTTAATGATAATGGGAAATATTCAACATTGCATTTAAATAATCGAATGTGGAAATAATACTCCATGATCACACGAACCAAGGTATCCTGGTTCAAGCCCAAGACTAGTCTACACTTATTTACAAGGTATTTCACTTATAAAAATAAAAATAATCGAATGTATTACTCCGCAACACATTCTGTATTTTAGTACAATGTAGTTATTTTACTATTTTATTGATGTTATTACTTATTCGTGACCTGTGTACTACAATAGGTCACCAACTACAAGCAGTAAACCATCAAGATTAGATCTCAAAAATGTGATCCATAATAAACATTATTTTTAAATCATCGCCTCAATAAATAGTTTGATTACTAAATGCACATTAAACTCACCGAGGCGAAGCAGCGATTAAAAATCGAACCCTAAAATGTCATATCTCTTCTAGATATAGGTACACCATGTAAAACGTCATTAAAAACTATTCAAATTTTTTAAGATATAACTGTATATTTTAACTACAAATTTTGAATATATATACATGTATACATACATGATACTATAATTTTAAATTTTTAAATTGGTAATATACGTTGTTCATAAACGCATGTTTTAAAATTTCAGTACAGTTCAAGTGCGGTTAGGATTCTGTTGCCCGTTGTTGCTAATGATTTATTCTAATCGAATCCAGTTCGCCCAACTGCGCGATCTTTGTAATGGTCTATTAAAGCAAAACGTATAAATAATATTATGCTATACCAGAGCCGTACTTAGACTTACTTCTAAGGGGGGCCGACTCAAATTTTTTCTTTAATTCAGGCTCAAAATCAGAGGCGTATTTATTGCCCTATAAAATGTAAATCATAAAAGTTCAATATAATTTTATAAAGAAATATTAGTAATAACTAGACTTAGAGACTTATAGTTTTAAAAAATACACAAATATGCATGCAAATATGCTACTAAAAAAATCATTAAAATATGCATTATAATAAGCATCTATATGCATTAAAAAAAAAAAAAATGACCACATAGTACATAAAATAAAACATGTCCATCGGATGATAAATGTATCTTAAAACTCCGAAACAAAAATTTATAGTCAGCTACTCGTAGACTGTTGTACTTTCGGCATTGCACAATGTTACAAAATATATGCGTACGACGTTTTAAGTATGATTCGACTTTGAGTGGTTGCGAGACGCAAAAACAGCCACGGATAATAATCGATTGAACTGAACACTAAACAAATAATCTATTATTCTATATCGACTATTATCTTTATCGATATCTGGTTGATATCCAGCGGGTTATACGGTCGATACGGGCTTATAGTATTATTTATACTTGCACAAAAATTATAACGAGATATGAGAGGTAGTTTGCAGATAGCATATTATTGGAAGTATTAAGTCCTCTTTGTAAATTTTTTCATTTTTTTTTTTCGATCAGTTGAAATATGTATATATTTTATTTGTATTTATAGTTTTTAAATTTAAATAATAAAATTTGAAAAATTTGTCAAAATATGCAAAATAAGCATAACAATTTTAAAATATGCACTCTCCTGCAAAATCTATCAAATATGCAAAAATATGCACATTCAAATTTTAGATCTGATATCATGATACTGAGAAACAAATTTATTTCGCACTCTGCTATATTTAACAATAATTAAAAAAAGTATGCAAATGCTAGAAGTCCCTAAGCCTAGTAATAATGAACAAGTTATTCATGTAAAGTGTCTGACGATTTTGATCGTAACGATTATACCATTGAGTTCGGTACATTGTGCTTAATTTTGACGTACAGTACTACTGCATTATCGTAATTTCGATTTTTTTTACCTAGAATTGATTTACTGATATACACACGTTGTCGCGTCTCTCAATCGATGTACAATATTTATAAGAGCCCGTATGAGCTAAAATATTTCCGAGAAGTGACAGCGACGACCAATAACACTATCACGGTGATCGGTTTTCGTTGTATAGTTGTTACTTGTTTTCGCTATTATAGGTAAATTTTGTATACTAATTTTTCAAATTTTGTTTTTAATAGGCTGAATTGGGGAATTTCAAATGGAGAAAATACAACCACCCCCCAAAAAAAAAACCTAAAAACGCCCTGCTCAAAATGTACAAGTAAAATGTTTGCTAATATTTAAATCAGGTGAATCCTTGATATTTGTAATTTTTTTTTTAATCTAATGCCGAATCCACAAATCGACTTTTTGTAGTTCTTTATTAAGACCTGTGTGTGTTTTAAAAGTTACGCTTGTGTTTCATTTGATTTTTCACTAAGTAATGGACCCGACAAAAAGCCCAATTCACAGCCACGCGTAATTTAATTTCGTTATAAGATTATCCACTTTAAAAATATTTGAAATGTTTATCCCACATATAATCAATTCCTTAAATTTAGATTCAGGGGTGGCGATCACTCATTCCTTCCCCTAAAATACGCCCATGTGCTACACTCAACGGTATGCATCACTAATGTCATACTAGTGACAGAACAAAAAACAAAATGCAATATTTTAAATCAACGGAATACTCGATACGCAGATTAGTAATTTAATACGCAAAGTACAAAGTACATCCTACTTATTGGTATTATCGAATTTGCTGTGGGATCGATTAGAAAATACTCAAAACCATGAATCGATTTGTACGATGAAATTTGCGTATCTGGCGAGCCGCGAATATTCGTATGAACAAAAATACGACGAAAAATTAATTGAAAAAATCAATCGGTTAAGAAATTAACATGATGATCATTACTTGATTTTAAAGCCGAGGTTTCCAGTTACATAAACATTCAAAACGGCGACGGTAAAAATAATTACAACAACCGTACGCAATATATCTCCTATAGTTATGTTTTCTACGGAAGTCAGTTTCTACAAAATTAATCTTGCATAGTTTTCAACATGATACTTTTTCCTACCATACTAACCGTTCGTAAAATAACATACTCTTCCGCACTGGACATATTATTCCATACCGTTCTTGAGCGATGAATGTGATACTACGTATTGAATTCGAAACTGACGATGATATTTACTTGCCGACAATGTCTCGGTTTCGTATTCCCTGCATTCATGACGTATTTCGAACTCAAATTATTTACAAGAACAATATACGTGACCGTTTAAAATATGTTCTTGTGGAAGTTGTGCATCGCGAATCAGTAAATATAGAATACATTACACAGATTGAAACATATCTGGTTTTTAAATGCGTTATAATAAGAAAAATTTCATTCTTGATGATTTTCTCATCAACATTTTAGAATGTTTTTAACACTACCGAATATTGATAGACAGTATATTTATGATGATTCCGATACACTGATCAATTAATTTGAACTGAATACTCGACTAGAAAATTATACAGCAATAGGTATTTATTACAAAAAAAAAAAAAAAAATTAAAATAATAAAAAAATTAATTATGATATTAATTTTTTTTTTTTGTAAATATTTACACAATATAATGTAATTTTTTATACCATCATTATATCACGTAACTTACGGTCACCAATTGACAAATTCATGAGTTAATAATGTTCTAAACGCAGCGTTTATAATAATAAAATGGAACGTATCAGTTTCGGAGAGGTATATTATATCAAGTCAATTAATTATTAAACCGTTGTCGTAACAGGTTACACTATCTGCCCGGCTGGCTTTGAGTTTCAAAAACAATCGCGAACATCTGGTTCATATCAAGACCGCTAGAGGGCGGATCCATTGCCAATAAAAGTTTAAAAAACATACTATAATTAATTTTTTATATCTCATATTAATAATTATATAGAATATAATAATATATATTATATGTTTTTCCAAATTTGCACCGTCGAAAACCATTAAATAAACCAAAAAATGAATGATATTATTTGTAAGTATTTTTATGTACTATAAAAAGCTAGAATAAATGCATTGAAATGAGGAAAGTTGGGTATTATATATATCCCAAGTGTATCCTCATAATTATTAAATCACAAAAAAATACTAGTTCCACATAAAATATTTCATAATTGCTCTAATTATAAATTACGTTAAAAAATAATTATTACACTTGAAATCGAAAACATTATTATTGAAATTAAAAAAATGTTTCTCATACATTTCTAAAACTTTCATACGAAATAGATTCACAGTATTCAGCAGAATTTTTTTAAATTTATTCTATAAAATATAATTATTAAATTGTTGATAGTCTTTATGCCTTTTTCGTATACAGTAACTAAAGTAAAAGAATATAAAAGGAAAATAATAAACAAGGATTTATAAATTAAAAATCCAAAATTAAATATTGACTTTATTTCAAGATACATTCATTTTAATAGAAAATAAAACCTTCAAATAAATATTTTTTTACAGTAAATTATTTATTTAATTAAATTGTATTATTTTTAATAAATAATACGTTCAATTTCTTATTAACTAAAATAAGTAATTTAATATCGTAAATTAATAAATCAACGTTTATTTTATACAAGATTATGATTAATAATAATAATATGAACATTTTAAATTCATTTTGGTATTGTATAAAATCATACTATGTATTTTCTATAATATATCTTATAACGTTAACTGCTATGTGAGTTTGATAAAATAAAATAGTGAACAACATCCGATTCGTAATGTCATGTATTATGTAATTTTTTATTTTATAGGAATTCAATTTTTTTTTTTTTTTTTGACAAAAGAGTCCCAACAAGATGAATTAAATGTTTTCCTTATGAAGAGTTCTAACCCTTAAGTCTACATTAATTTATATTTTAATATGCGTTATACTTCATATTAAGTCCCTCAATAATTTAAAAAAGAGGCTTAAAAATTATAAGTTTTTCTCAATTTAAATTTATTGTCAAGCACTTGCACAACTTCTAATAAATTAAAGAGCCTATTACAAAAGAAAAAATATATATATATACGAGTATATATATTTATAAGTATAAAATAATGAATTTAAATGTCGAGAGTAAATCACACTAATCTAAAGTTTTTCACATAATATGATTGAATATGTAAATACTTAATAAATATAATAAATATGTATACCTAATTATAGCATCTTGTAATGATAAGGTTTTTATTTTTTATTTACAATCATTACTTATTGGCAAAACACTTATACGAGTACAATCTTAAGAGTTATATAAGATGAATTAAGATTTATTAGATTTATTTTTATTTGTTTGTTTAGATTATTCATCTTGAGAACGTATAAATGTTGCTATTTCTAATATTTTTTGTCGGTTTCGCTGAATTTCTTGACTGTAATAAAAAAAAATAAAAAATAGAATTATAAATTATTTTAATCAATATACATTGAACACATTTTTAAGTACGAAAACGAATAGATTGTACAGTACAATTTGTATTACTATGTTACTATATAAGTGTTTATTGTATTGGGTGCCCTGTTTAGAGTTTTAAGATTCTAAAGAACTTGTTAAAAGCTAAACCTCTTTACATACTTTTTTATTTATAATATGTATTAGTATTTTAAAAGTAATAAAAGTTCATATTCAGTTTTAATGCAATTTACAAAACATGAAAATACATCAACTCTATACAAATATTTTTCAGTAATGCGATTGACTACATTTTTGACAAATAAAAATAACAATTTAGTCAACCAATATATATATATATATACGTTAAAATTTGTATTTCATATTTAACATACTCGTTCAAATCGTTGAAGACATCGTCTAACCATTTAGAAGCACTTTTCGTTATGTATGATTCCGCGCTCTGTAACTGCATTGCTTGTGATTCCATACACTGAGAGATGTCGTTTATAAATTGTGACACTCTACAAAATCTATTGTTCGTCTGAAATTATCAAAAATGTCTTATGCTATAAGCACAATACCACCATAATCATTGTAAATATAAAGTACATGTTGCTCCATAAACTTTGATATTAACTAACTGTTAACACACAATTTTGTGAAATCGTATACTAACGTCATCACTTTGTGCCGAACACACGGCATATTCCAAAACAAATTGTAAGAACACGTTCTGCTGTCGCTGCAACACGCCAAACCGATTATTGACTAACTGTTTGAATTCCATTATATGCTTTTCGAGTACATCTTGTAGCACAGCGATCATTTCCTGAAAGAAAAACCTCCAGTTTTGTTAATAATTTGTGAAGGTAACAATCAACTTTTTTTTTAAAAAAATACTTTTTATCCAAGCATAAAATCTTTCTTTTTTTTTTATAATTAATGATGAATTATGAAGATAAATAATTTATACTATTGTTAAATGCTAATAGTATGCATTGAAAAAAAGTAATTTATGAAACCCACAACTCATAAACGTTGGATGTATCATGTATAAGAGATTACAATTATTTTAGTAATTATTTTTCAATAGGTATTTATGTATTTTTATTGTAAAATAAATATTTTAATAAATTATTTTTAAAAAAGGTATTTGTATTTGAATTATTTAGAAGTAGAAGAAAAAGATATAGCAATTATAAAAAATATAAGTTTTGCTTCTATTATTGGTTAAAGTAATATGATTCACCAAAGGTGGACATTAACTTGTTAAAAATTTAATATTTTTTTTAAACTTTTTAACTTAACTAGTTGGATTTTTTTCTAATAAACATCTAACTTAACTAGTGTAATTGGCTGTTGAAATAATTTAGCTTTTCACATTTCATTAAAAAGTGATTAATGAATGATAAAAAATAATAAATAATAAAAAAAAAAATTGAAATTTTTCATTTATACGTAAATATTCACATTAAAATTAAATATTTATGTAAAGAAAATGGTCGCATACACTGTACATCAGATATCGTATTAGATTTTGTAGGTTGAGGTCCCACCTTTGGGTATTGGGCTCTGGCCGTGGATACAGAATGTTATTTATAAAGAATTTTAACTATAAAGATAAATAAATACGGTAGTGACCTAACCTAACCTAATCTTGATGTACAATATCAAAGTATTTTTCTAACACTTCGGCCCCACTGTTGTATATTATGATCAAAAATTCGTTAAAATTGTTTACTATAATTTAGGAAATTAGAAGTTTCTAAAAAACATAGTAACTTTTTAGGTGATTTACATACTCATTAAAAAAAGTAGATTAACTTTTTTTAAACTGAGGTAAGTTAATATTTTTTTCTTATTAACTTTTAACTTATCGAGTTAAATTTATGAATTGTTAATTGTTAACTTTCAACTTATCGACCTTGTGTTCTTTCAACTTAATTCAAGTTAATTATTTTTATTAACACGCCCACTTTTGTGATTCACTATTGTCAAACATCAATGTCGATATTCATTCGTTGAATCAAAAAACCGCACACTTTTTAGAGCTGAACACATTTTTGTTACAATACTGGTTTACCGTTATTTTCCGAAATAGAGAGTCCTCGTGACCCATTAGTACCAGCCAAAGAACTCGCGTTCTCTTGTCTAACCGTTTGTGCTTTGCGGCTTCTCGTTGCATCACCAATTGCGTTTCGTCTGTGGCCACTGTGTCATCCTGTAGACTGTCACCGCTTTTGTGCAAATCGCATTTAAGTCGTTTTTTGTACTCTGCAAACTTTGTAACGCATCTATAAACAGAATATTGATGTCATGCGGTCAGTTGCACCGAACCGGGTGATCAGAAGTTCCGAATGCTCAATCTAAACATGTAAATTTGTACGATTTATTGCATTGAGACCACTTTTACACTACTCAAGAATAAAGTTTGGAGTAATACGCATTTGTACATATTTTTTCCATTTGACCACTAGGTATAGGCACGTTTTATTACTTTGTGAATATGTGTATTGCGAGAAATACGTATTTTGATAAAAACAAATAAAAAACGAGTGAAACTTTTAGGTCGGGCGAGATTTCCTGGTCGGGTCAGATACAAAGATGGGTGAACGATATAACCATATTAATTTTTTTAACTTGAAACCAATATGCCATTGATCTCGAAAAGACAATTTTGAGTAAAAGAGATCAGCCAATATTTATAAAGATATTTGATATAGTTGTAGAACCAAATTTCTTAACAAGGTAGGTTGAACTTTTCATGTTCTAACTTTTACAGAAAAAAATGCATTAAGGTTGGAAAATAAATTATATTTAAATATTATTGTATCATCCCCTCCCCCCTTGTATTACCAAACTATAATCAAATAAAATGTCGTGTTAAAAACAGTAAAAAATTTCATTAAAATATTTCGATTATAACGAAAAGTCTTTAAAACGCTAATATAATTTTTCAGTAAATGTTTCGAATCGCTATCAAAATTATTTATAGAAATAAAATCAAGTAATAATCTAAATTCATTTGAAATACCGGATTTCGTTAAAATTTCATTTTTTAACACCTATTTAAATGTTTTGCAACTTTTCATTAAATACTCTTTTTTTCGTTACAGAAACTATGAAAAATCTTATACCCAATTTTCAAGCCTATAATAAATATGAATTAAATGTATTATGCATTTTCAACTACAAAAATGTAGCATATTTTCGTAATTGTTGTCGTTTAGTCCAAACACAATATTCCAAAAGATATAATGAAGAACTTTACATTCAATATTTAAGAAACCTTTGTCATACCAAAATAGTTTTATCAAAATGTTACGAAATAACTTACAATTTTCAAAAATCTATAAATAGCTTAAAAAAATCGTTTTGAAATTATATAATTTATTACCGTTGGAAAATTTGTTAGATGATCTTCCCCTCAAATAACAGTTAAACAGTATTTTCTATCATAATTTTTCTATGATTTTAAGATGATCGAAGTGATATTTCTGATCGGAATCGTGTACACGGATACAAATTAAAATAAAAAAAATACACATAAGCGAAACCAATCCTAGTTTCATTCAAAATCTAAAAACAGAACACAACTATTATTCATTATCTGCTTTCCACTTACTTTCGACTCTCATTCACTCCATCGTTGATTAAACACCTAAGTTTTTCTCGAAATTCGATGACCAGTCGTGTACGTGTCTCGCGGCTAGTTTCGGCGGCTTCAGTTATTTCGTTTATCAGTTGTCGGAAGTTCTCAGCATGCCTAAACATAAAAAAATTTATCACTCGCACATATCAATAGCAATTTTTGTTTTGAATACATCGATTGCGGATGCAAACCTAATTCGAGTATTCTATGCATGGTTATATAATGTAACTTTACGTAATACTACTAGACATGTTTTTATAAGTACCTATAGATTTGCAAAAAATATATTCTTCTGCTTGATTAATTAATTTCATGTTTTTATTTTATTTTTTTAATTCAAAATAAAATGTAACAACGAAATACTTGAAATGTTGGGTCACTGATAGATTGGAAAAAGTTAAAAACTGCTACATCTCCATAGGCTGAACATTTGTGTATAATGTAAATTTAAATAATTCTTAAAATATAATTAACCACAACCATAAGACTATTAAAGATTGGACTGGTTGAAAAACTGAATTTAATGTACCGAGTTATGAGTTATCAGATTACTCAAAAATAATAAATTCAAAAAATTATAATAATATTTATGAGCACGATATAATATGTAACAAATGTATTTCAAGTAATATAGTATCAATAATATACATAATATCATCAGAATCGGTTTTTCGACTAGCTGAGTATTCTTACACCCGGTAAGCATTGTGAATCCCGTATCGGCTGTTCTCATTGAGGACTTGTTCGACGGTCGGATTGCGGAAAATGCTCACGTTGAAATCGACGTCTCCGCTTTCTGGGATTCTATCTAAAAACGCATCCTTTCTGGCGTTCATGCGTTCCAACCGCAGTTTCTCGTCTTCCGACAACCGTTTCAATTTTTTATCGTTGTTTTCGAGCAACGAAATCAGCTTACTGAAAATGATCACCGACATACTGTTATAATACGTATTGTTTACACGTGCTATGTAATTATTAAAATTAGGTATATATCAAAGCCAGTGCTGTATTTTCCAGTAAATATTATAAGCTAGTTCTTAAGGCGACAATTTCTCAAGGACGGCAAATAATTTTTAAAATTTAATTTTTATTATATAAAACTAGAACTAAAATGAATGCGACTAATTATAAAATATTTTATTTTATTAAAGCCAATGGGCACTAGGCACAAACTATTTAATTTTGAATATAATTTAAAGCATTTTTTAGTATCATGTTTTTATCATTATATTTTATATCATATTTTTATAGTTAAGTTTTTCAAATTAATGTATGTATATGTTACGGGCAAAAGCCGAAATTGGGCAAACCTCAGAAATGCCCGGGCAAAACGCGAACTGCCCATAATCCTTGAGAAAAATGTCATATTTCAGTTTTTGACCGGGCAAACCTAGTTATGACCAACCTCATTTGGGCAAAACCGCTAAAACCGTATACTGACTATTATCGTAAGGACAAAATCGTAGTCTTAAATATATTCGCTAATATTATATACAAATAATTATAAAATAAATATTATTGTACAAATATAATTGAATAAACTTAATTAATACTTTTAAAGCTCACTTGGGCCAAACCGTAGCGTTTTAAATAATTTCACTAATATTAAATACAAAAAAAAAATAATAATCATAAAATATTGTACAGATATAATTGAATACACTTAAATAATAATAAAAAAAATAATATTTTTGTTTATTTGTTACTAGACATATTAGAAACATGGAATTTAGAACTACACAAAATATTCTGTTGTTTACATTTGTATCATCTCGTAGTGCACTTAGTTTTGCAAGAACAGAAAATAAGCCCTTGTCCTCCAGTTAATGAATTTTGAATACTAGCAGTCCTCAGTGGTATTTCGATATTCGGTACATCATTGCTACTAATAAATAGTTCCTTGCATTGAAATATTTGGTTTCTGCCATAAAGTGATGACAATATTCCCTTGTGCATATTTAAGACTCTACGGTTTTGCCCTTTACGATAAAAGTCAGGAAACGGTTTTGGCGGTTTTGCCCAAATGAGGTTGGTCATAACTAGGTTTACCCGGTCAAAAGCTGAAATATAACATTTTGTCCAAGGATTGTGGGTAGTTCGCGTTTTGTCCGATCATTTTTGAGGTTAGCCCGATTTCGACTTTTGCCCATAACATATACATTTTTATAGCAGCTGTATATTTTTACTTTACATCATTAAAATTTTAAGTAATAAAGGAAACAACTATAATTGTATGCTTTAATAACATTTTTTAAACTAGAAAAATATTTATATTGAAAGGCGGCAATTTTTTTAGTGTTTAAAACGACACAATGGTTAAATCCGACACTGATAAAAGCCACATACAAGGCTATACTACTCGCATATTATGTAATTACGTATTATACTTGCAATCTGTCACTTAATTTTTTTTTTTTAATTCGTAGTGATTTTACATTATATAGCCATTGCTAAACAAAATGTATTTACAATTTCGCTTTTTCGGTATAAGGGCAAAATTGGACAGTGAACTGCGCTCGTATTGTACGTGGTCCTGCGCAGTAACGAATCTCGGCTGACGGTGAGTTTTAATGCTGCAGGAACATAGTTCAATGAAATTCAAACCCATGGTATACGATAAATATTATTATGGTTTTTGAAAATATTTGTTAAATCATGATGAAGATAAATAAATAAATAAATAAACCGTAATAAGTGTACACGATATATTTTTAATACCTAACTGTCAGGTTTCTAATGAATATCTAATTTTTGTTTTCGCCAGCATACCACATTACTTTGAAAAACGTATATGAATATGAATAAACGTAGCATAACGAACATCAAGTTCTCCACTTAAATGTTAGTGGTAAATACAAATCTATCTCCCAAGGTTAGGATAACGGGACCATTTTGCCCCAAGCCCCTATATTGGAAAATTGAAAGTGAACCCTCTTAAAGTCCTGATTAATTAGAAATACTCAACGTTACCCATTAGAGATTATTAATATTATTATAATATTTTTTAACTATTTTTCTTTATGGAATATTAATGCGTTTGATTAAATAAAATTAACTTAAATTAATATTTAAACGTTATTATACAGGCTGCATTTTCAGTTATTTTAATTTCTAAATAGTTATAACTGCCATTTATTTTTGGTCATTGTCGGAATGTGAATAATGACTTGATTTTATCTAAATTTACATAGAAATTCGTTATCACAAGTATCGCCAGGACAACATTCATGATCTTATTTTCTATGGCGGTTTATGAATTATTTAGGAATAAATTTAATTTTCATGGAATGTGGTAAGTAGAAATACATTATTGAAAATTTAGTTCATTATATTGATGCATTTAAATGAACTTGATTGGTTGAAGTTCGGAAAACTTTATGTGTATTTTTTTTCATAATCATATATTATTGTGATGATTGAGAAGTCCTCGAATTGGTTTGCCCCAGGCACTAAAAATCCTTAGCACGACTCTAGGTGTATAGAGTACACTTGTAAAACACGAGTATCGTCACCTGAACGTTTCGAGGGACTCTTTTTTCTCCTCGACCGTAACTGTCTTGTTGTTGTACACCAATAATGATTGAACCAAAGATATGATGAATTTCCGTTCGGAATCTGCAGGAACTATTCGAAACGGATTGCCTTCCACTATTAGCGATACGAGGTTTTTAAATTTTTTCAAATAAAATATCTGCGAAAAATAAAGTTTACAAACATTTAGTTCAAATTATCTCACAACCTCGAATTATTAGCAGAATATAGCAGTGATTGAAATTCAAACTAACGAATCTTATACTGGTTATTTTGCAATATCCTATGTCTAACATTTCCAGTGAATCGAGTTGAGAGTCCAGATTTTGGACGGTCGTCAATGGATTATGATTCAAAACCAAACGTCGTAACTTGACTAATCCCTATAAAACCAAACCATCTGATTAAAAAAATAAAGTCTGTTACAAATACTTCGCAATGTAAATTTAAAAGTATGGCCGCATTGCAAAAATACGTTTATATGTATATACACACGGGATGTATGAATACGACTAGCAATACGTTACTGATTTATTATATTAAAAACTGTAATACTACCTGAAGGTTTTCTATTTGTTTAATATGATTGTGAGATAGATCCAGTTCGAGAAGGTTTGTGTAAGTTTCGAGATTGCAAATCTTATCGATACGGTTGACCGATAATTTTAAAGACGTTAGATTGGTCGACGATATCAAGCCTAAATTGGCTATATGTAGTATGTCTGTAATACAATACGGTATTTATAATGTTGTTTAAAAATAATATTATAGGCATTCCTTCATAGGGTAATTCATTTTTTAACCACAGAAATGCTCACATTAATTTTATACGAGATGTGAATACTTGTCGAACATACATTTATATGTATAATTAAAAATTGGATTCCTAATAATTGCCTATACATTTCATATAATTGTACATATTATCTTATAAATTGTTAATTTTAATGGAGTTTATGTACACTAAATGTAATTAATATTTAATAAAAATCCACGCGAAAAGTACATTATAAGGCCTAATGTACACGTGCGGTTTTTAAATGCGCGGTGCCGTTGCGGTACTGCGTTTCAATTTTACGTTACAAGTAGATGGGATTTTTACTTATCGCTAGAGATTTCTCTTAAAATCCTTAAATATGATGTTTCTTCTGTCTTTAAATAGACAGTCTATTCTCTAAATATTCTTTAAAAATACCAAATTTATGATGCTTTATGTTTTTAAAAATACAAATATTATTTCAATATTCTGAAAAAAAAAAATTTTAATTACTTGATTTAAATTTATCGATTACTGAATGTTATTTATTATTTATTTGATTTACAGTAACATTTTTGAAAAAAAAATGGGTTTTAATGCAAATTTTTATCATACATGGAATACCGCTAATGTCTAGTGATTCATTTTTATAACAACCTAAACGGAAATAAAAATAACTCACATTGCGAATATTGTATTTGTTGATCAATATTATTAAAATGCCGATGTACGTAACATACTTCGAAAAAAAATATTTATAAAAATAAAACCTTCGATAGTAAAAATGTTTACAAAATATTCTCAAATATTCTCTAACGTACTGAATATTCCCTAACCGCTTAAATATGTTTTTTTGTGCAAAACAAAATATTTTCTGTGGATTCTGTGTTTCATGAACCTTAAAGATATCTCACTGCCGTTTAACTGCGTGGACTAGAAACAAATGTGTAAGATCATAAGAATCCGACCTCTACTTATCATCGCGCTTACTGGAACAGCTTAGATCTAAATGTCGGAGCTCCTTGAACCAGGCGATCATTTCGTCTGGATCCTCGGCGTCCGTTTTACCGCCGCGGTCGTCGTGATTCGACCGTATGACGTGCGCGTCGATCACCGTGAACTCCATGGCGCGTCAACAGTGTTACACGAGGTGCAAGAAGGTCTTCCGGTCGGTCGTTGTCACCGGTCTACGCGGTGCCAACGCTCTCGATTGCGGTTCCTAGGGCCATTTGTCGGTGTTCAATCGATCACGTCGACACCGTGCTAACGGCGGATCGATACAATCGACGATAACACGTAAACACTGTTGGTGCACCGGTAAACGATACTGTGTTACCGCGAGGGATGATGAGCATCTCGTCCGCGGTCGTGCACGGCCGTCGTTGCTAAAAAAAAATACCGTCTTGTACGAGTTCACGCGATCAAAGAGGTACGAGGCACGCGGTCGTGTTCGACCGTTGGGCGAGGGGGGGGGGGGGGGAGGCGCAAGCCGCACAATCGACGTGACCGTGATGGCTCCGCGCAGCCTTTCGTTGTTGTGCCGTCCGCGGTAACCGTGGCGACGTGCCCGCGTGCCCGCGGTGACGGGACGTGACCGGGTGGGCGTACGCCGGCGGGTGCGTTTGCGTGACAGGAAACGTGCCGACTTATGGGTCCCGCGACCCGTCTGTTGTTGCGCCAGAACCGCAGACCCGTAACCCCGGCGACCGGCCGACGAAAGCGCGCGCCATCAAGGCCGTAGGGGCAGTGGCAAGGACGACCGCGGTGCCGCGAGACCGTTCGCCGGCGTGTATTGACTTCGAGACATGAACTTCTGGCGCAAACTGACGCGGTTCATGGGCGTTTTCGGACGGACGCCGCGGCGGCGCAAGGTTCGCGCGTTGCTGGTCGGGCTCAACAACGCGGGCAAGAGCACGCTGCTGCATCGTCTGAAGGCCGACCGCGAGCGGAATGTGTCGCGCAAACCGATCGCGCCCACCATCGGCTTCACCACCGACACGTTTTTGTGTGAGTAATCGTCATCGTCGTGGTCCAGATGTTTTCTTGTAGGGGTGGTTTGTGACGGTCGCGGGAGGAACCGGTGGGTTGAAAATGCATTTCGCACGGCACACGACAGCTTAGGTTTACACGCCGGTTCGCGGGCCGATGTTTCCGCTTGCCACCGTGTCTCGTGGAACGGTGCGTATTTTGAAATCTTTACTTGTACTCATCGATGCCGGCCCGACAGACTTTAGGGTTCGGTGCAGGATTTTACGAAGTTAATTATTTTATTCGTTTTACGATCATACGATTTTGTGTAAGGTGCTGTAGTCTAGATTTTCGTCGATGTTTACAATAAATAACCGTTTACCGGTGACAAATACATTCATTACAAAGTTTGCAGGATCCCGTGCGACCGAACTGCCCGTCGTCCCCTCGTCGGGCCGCACTGTTACTTACACTTTTCGCGTTCGACAGATTCGTAAGGTTTTAATTTCCCTACAAACATAATACACCCATTGGCGGAATGAGGAAGAGCATTTCTTTTTTTTTTTTTGTCTGGTCTTATTATTAATTAATAATAAAACTTATAATTAATTCCTTTAGACTACTATAAGCAAACTTGCATGTTTCCCGTGTCCAGAGTTGGGCATCGTTCGAATAAAACGAGTTCATGTTAAAATCGCAAAATAAAAATTCCGAAAATATAATGGCAAAAGTAAAAATGAAATGTTGTGAAATGTTTCAACAGCAAAAACATAAATAGCGAAAAGAGAGAAATTATTTTCGTTAGTGGATATACCTTTGTGATATAATAATACTACCTACATAATCAATAATGTAATTTTGAACTTGTGCGTCTTGGATCACGTAATAAAGATAAGCCATGGTTAAACTTAACCACTGTCAAGCTTTATCATATAGTAAATAATAATAATGATATATAGATAATCAATGTAATTTTGTACTTTTCAGTCTTATAACCTATGACCACTACCGAGTTGTCTGTTATCGTGTTCATATGTAACGCATTTGTAATATGGTTTATTCAAAGTCAAAACAACAAAAATGTATTAAAATATAATGGTTATTTGTATAGGTTTGACAAAAAATATAAATCTACCGTGTAATGGAGATGTAACGAAAGCCTATGTAAATCACGCATTAATTTAAAAACCGAAGAAATCGAATATTTGACTTCAACAGTTCATTACCATTTTTTAAATATATCTTTACGTGCGTAAAATTGATCATAAAGTTAGAGATGAGTTGATAAATTCAAAGGAATTCGCTAATTTATTTTTTATTACCATCGACATGGTCATTGATAATATTATCATCGTTACTGTTTTAAATATAATATTATAATAATAATTTTGTTGTTAAAAAATTCAATATTATTCACCAATTAAATTATTTAAAATAAAATACTCTGTATTTATAAAATCATTAATTACTCGTGTTATTATTTTTAATTTCATTATTTCGATTTGTTTTTATCCAACGCTGTCCGTGACGCAAAATAAAATTGACTGAAACATTTACTACACAAATTTCCAACACGTTAAAGCTTAATAAATTATAGAATTATATACTACGAATAATATAGAAATCATGTATGTAGATAAATCAAGCACACATTTTATGACTTACATAAAACCATTGATCTCATGATAAATTGAAGACTCAACCGTAGTTAACTCATATGGATTTCACTTTTTCCGATTAGAGTTGATTATTTTTTATTTTTTTTAATACGTTTGACTTTTCGACAAATTATGTTTTGTGAGATTTTGATAAAAACTCAGATCTCATCAAAACAGCGTTACATTTGTACGAGAAAGACCTTTTAAATTACAATGATTTAGGAAGTACACATTTCGTTCGTGACTCGGAATATTTTTACACGTATTAGATTAAATTATATTGAGTCCTTTGCAATGAAATGATAAGAAAGCCATGGGTCTTGATGTAATGTCCTCACCGATGAATATGAAATGCAAAAATTGTCACAATGCCCGCCCGTATTTATTTCTTCGATAATATGAGCAAAACTTATCACTGTCTCCTGTGGTCAAAGTTGATTCAAACACTTACGGGGAAAATAGTTTTTCGTGAACAATCGACTTAGGGCTTTTGCGCCGGGATCGAAGAACAATGATCATCATGATCATTGGTTTGATTAAGAAAAAAAATGTTCGTAACACGTTTTTTTTTTTTTTTTTGGTTTGCGTGCAGTCAACAACGTCAAGTTCACGGTGAACGACATGTCGGGCCGGGACGGGTACCGGAGCATGTGGGAGCCGATGTACGCTCAGTGCGACGCGATCGTGTTCGTGTTGGACAGCACGGATCAGCTGCGGTTCGCCGTGGTCAAGGACGAGTTAGACATGATGCTGCGGCACCCGGACGTGGCGGCCCGACCCGGCTTGCCGATACTGTTCGTGGCCAACAAGGCGGCGGCACCGGACGCGTGCAGCGCGTCCACCGTGGCCGGTGCGCTCGCGCTGCATGAGCGCATCGAACCGGACCGACCGTGGCGCTTGGCCACCACGGACGCGGCCGCAGCGCCCGGCCAACCGGTCGACGACGGGCTGCGCGAGGCGGTGGAATGGCTGGTGGACACGATCAACGTCACTGACCGACGATGATAACCGTCCGAGTTGACGATCAAAGCCGCGGAGATCGTGTACCGTCTGGGGCAAATATCCGCGAACGGAAACAAATAACAAAAAAACTTCGATCGAGTTTTGCGCAAGGGTTAAATCGTCGACGGACAATGTTTTGCTCTACGATGTAATAGCTTGAAATCCTATAGCATTCGGAATCGATCGTTATAGTGAACTTCTTTCGCAACGGGAAAAACGTGGATAAGGTCATTTAAAGACACATTCGGTGTTGGCTGCGCTTTGACGTGACAACATTGGCATATACTGTCTAAACTCTTTTCGAATTTGTCGTTAGTCCGCGTTTAAGCTGCCAACGCACACAATTTATTTTATACATCCGTCCGGACCCAAATGTCGACGAAGACTAAAATCGCGTCCAAACCAAAAGCGAATTCCTGTGATGTACCGCTTCTCGATCGAAAGCGTATTCGCCGTTTGCGTTC